CGTACGTGACACGCACGAGATGCGACAGACACGCGAATCGCAAGTACGATGATCCATGTCGGAGGAAAGGGGGAGGGAACTCGAGGTTTGCGACCTTGGCGATCGAACTCGCTTTTCATTAGTCGCGACGGCCTGCCGGTGTGGTTGATGTCGGGGGATTGAAAACACCGTGGATTATCATTTGTCTTCATCAAGTTGTAACTTTCTCCGTGATCGATCGCGGTGGCTGTTTCTCCTCTCGTTCGATATCCAGGAATACCCATCTCGGATCGTCCTTCATCCGTCCGTCTAATCCTCGGTTCGGCCACGAAACTAACGCGGCGTGCGGCAACGCGGACGTGCAAAAAGCGTCCATTATCACCGTGCGGTTTCTTGCTGCTGATGTCGGGAGGAGACAGGGGGGCGGGAGGGGGCGGGGGCTTCTTTCGCGGGTGCCTTTAATTCGGTCCAAAACGAAATCCTGCCATCTGCGATTTTCACCCCACCTCCTCGACGCTTTAAAAATCGTTCAACGATGAATTATTCGAGACGTCCGGCCAGAAAGAAAGGCCAAACGAGATTTCGATGGTCGCTAAATGTGACTGACCACCGGCAAAAGTGGCTTAATGCGCGCCGGAGCTGCGACTATCCAAACTCTCCCCCCCTCCTCCTCCTCTCCCCCCCTCCCTTGAGATTTCCTGGCGCGATTTGTTTAAGAACGGACAGACGGGAGGAACGAGTGGAAAGAATCCGATCGATGCGCCGGCAAGCTTCGAGCGGAATGAAAACTAGTCGAGAATGAAAAGGACTCGGAGTATCAACAGCGTGTGTGCTAATGCGCGACGTTCGAAAGAGTTGAAAACGTGGAAAAGGTGGGGAACGCGGATACGCGGGAAACGATGGACGCGCTCGACTAGCCAGCGGCTAGCTGAAAAGAGAGATAGCGGTAGATTTAGGGGTCTGTTTTCATTGCTATTCAGAATCGTGCGGGCTTCCGCACGGCTTCTGTCGTCCCGTACCGAGGGCATCGGCCTGATTGATAAATCTACGGCTGCTCAATGATGCGTTTATTTGCCGGAGAATTAGGGCGAGAAGCGAGAGCAAGACGGAACGAGAGGAAGAGCACAGGTAACGACTTGTGTAACGGGAGAGAGAGAGAAAAGATAGGATGGATAGGGAACCAGAGGTCCAGGAAACGAAAGAGACCGGTCATCTCCACAGACACGGGAGAACACAGGGGACACACGGGGGTAGATAGGTTCACCGTTGTGAAGCGCGGAGGGCCAGTGTACTCTACCGCAATCAGTAAACCTGTAAAACATTGGATTAGGTGGCCTAACCCAGACCTTACTCTGGCTTCGCTGGCTCGAGCCGGCTGGCACTTCCAATTTCCAGCTACGGCTTGCCTATACACCCTTTTGTTTCTGTCTCGCGTTATCTCATTCAATCGCGTTCGCATACGTGTACACGTGCCCGTTTTACTTGGGTCCGATCTCCGGCGCCGTTTCTGGTTCCGGTTTCAGTCGTCACGATACGCGATCGCGATATCACGCCGCTGTTATTCCGTTCCTCCAAACGAAAACTAGTTTTATCATCGGCGTGGTTGCTCGTTCGACGAAGATGGGATAACTATCCCGGTGGAAACGCGAACTATTTTTATACAGCGGACATCCAAAATGAAGGCACCACCGTAGTATGTACCTCGACGCGATGAAACACGTTTGCTTTCAGGGGGAAAATAGCTCGCCGGCGTGGCGGCATGTTATTGAAATTAGAAATCGGTCAATTGTCGGATTGCCTAGCCATCGAGCAGGGATTGTCAACAATTGTTAATCAGGCTCCCCTGGCGTTATTATAATTGTCGTTATTATTCCATCGTTTTATCGCCCACGGTAATTCACTGTTTGTTCAGTTTTTGTTTGGACAATGCTATGAAAGTCCGGTCACTGTATTTGTTGCTGACGCTTCGTTCGTTCGTTCGTTCGTGCATGCACGATGCTGTTTGCGTTTAATATTTCTGAACGAAGTTTGATATTTCCTGAGAAAATAAGGCTTTATTGCGAAAACGCCGGAATGGATAATGGTCGAGTGCGAGACAGAGGATTTTCTAGCCAAACAGGATTTACAGGTCAAATCAGTTTTCTTTCCCTTCTTAATCGGGGCGGATTGTGTTCCGAGCATGGTACTCCGATTAATTTGTTCGAAAATTCGATCGAGTCCATTTCCAGCCCGAGTCGAGCTGAAAATTTAACGATCTGCAACAATGAAAAAGTTATTTGCCCGTCGACGTGTATCCTTTCAACGACGCGAACCATCTCCGCTAATCCGCGTTGATATTTCTGTTCGTGCACGCTGTCGGCCGTGTATGAGCATCGTTCGCGGAATTCATTCGCTTCTCAACGTCGGATATTTTTTTACCTCTTGCCTCTCTGCGATTCTGATTATCGAATTAGAACCGTGGGAGAGATTCGCTCTTCCAATTACAACGTTTCCCTGTAAAATCGAAAAAGAATTCACGCTCGCGACGAAAATTACTACTTTGTTGTTAGATCTCGACGTTGTATTCTTCATCGTCCATCGATCAGTGCCGGGATATTCTCTTCTCCGCGCGAGGTAAAATGTTTTTTTTTTTTTTCCAAAATGTGTGACAAACAATTCTCGCCGAAGCTCGGGAAAAATATGCCGGACAAATACGATATAATAGCGCGACGCGCTCGTAACGTTTAATTAACGAACGAACTTTCACCGTTGTGCGCAGAGATGATTCACTCGCGATGAAAAATATCGAGAATCTCGCGTGATCCTAACTGCGAGATGGGGCGATGCTTTTGTCGAGGACGACGAGACATTTTCGATTCGACGTGACGTTTTCACCGGTTTCGGATCGATGCGACGCGACGTGTCATCGGCGAATGATCGCGATTGCAAGTAGCAGCAATCGCGATTAGGCGGTGGTGGGTGTTGGGGGACACGCGAAAGAACGGTACTCGGTATGTGCACGAGCTACGAAATATTTCGTTGGCGAAGAGAGAGAGAGAGAGAGGAAGAGAGAGATAACCCGACGCGAGCATCCGGTCTGGCGTGTTTGGCGCGCGCTGAACGATTCGCAATCCCTCCGTATAAATCGAAATCGTAGCGCATATTTGGAAACTTCCGATTCCAATTTCGATCTACAAACAGGCTGCGAACGGCGGCCATTCTTTTCGAATCGATTTTACGATTTCATCGCGACACCGATTTTCGTGGAACGCCGTGAGATGCCTCCGGTTCCCTTTACGTCCAACGCATTCCTTCGCTTCCGTCTCTGAGACATCAGCAGCATTAATTGGAAAATATTCTCTTTCTCTCTCTCTCTCTCTCTTTCTCTCTCTGTGATGCAAACGATTTTCTTATCGAATTAAGGCAAGAGAAAACAACGATAAACCCGCGAGAGAAAAGAGAGAATTCAAGAATATCAGTCCGAAGAATAGTTATAATAGTTGATCGAATCTGTTTACGTGGTAGAAATAGCAAACATAGGTAACGGGAGGAGAGAGTAGGTGGTGGAGGAGAAGAGAAGGAAAGCAACAAGAAAATGATGACGGTATCGTTTATCGGGAATAACACAGTTTAATTACTGTTGAAATTGCTTCTTTATAATAAACAATATATTTATTAAAATAATAAATGATGCAGCGGGTACTTGCGTATGCAGTGAGAATGATGAATATAAAATATGGTTACGGGACACGTGGTGACTGTGTTCTACAGCTCGATCGGAAAGAAACTGAAAAACATATGAAATCCGTGGAGTCACGTCATTACTCTGACACAAGCATATAATAACATAGGCACACCGCACATTCCATATCGTTGTCCTCCAACGATTATCGCTCTATCGCATAATTCGAGACTTGTTCCTTCTCCGAAGATCGCGAAATTCTTTGGATCCTGAGGGACGCGAGATTTTCGAACCGTGGACTCGGAGGGTGGCTCGAAACAATAACCATGAACGCGGGGTGAAATCTTGCGCGATGAGGCTGTAATGGATTCGACTTAATAATTCAGCGACTTCTCTCGTCGAAACAAAAGGCAATAATGCACAAAAGAACCGGACATTTTGTCGAAGCGAGCGCCGGTAGGTGCTTTGCTTTTGAAAGAGAGAAGCTCGACCTTCGGGGTCCGATACCGGGAAATCAAAGCGAAGGGGGGAGGGGACGAAATTTCGAAACGAAACCGGCGCATCAATATTTCCAAACGAATCCGTCGAAACGACGGATCGGCATGCCAACGATCGCACGAGATTCACGACGGTGGTGATCGCCCTCGAAACACCTTTAAGACTCTCGAGAGGCTCGAGCGACCATTCGACGATGTTTTCGTCCGAAATCGTCATGCAACGTGGCGTAATTCGCAAGAGAAAGGGGTAAGAGGAAAGTAAAAAGGGGAGGAAAGAAAGGAAAGGAAAGAACGAAAGAGGAGGTAGAAAGGAGTCGAAGAAAAAAGCAGGCTGTGAGGTGGAAGGAAGAGGGTAAAGAAAAAGCAAGGAAGAGGGATAAAATCGAGAAAGCCAGTGGGAGGTGAGTGGTACCTGGTGCGCTCGCGCACACCAACGACGACGACGACGACGACGACGACGACGACGACGACGACGACGTGGAGGCTCTGATAGCAAAGTCCGCCGCTGGAGAACGGAACGGGTGCTGCTGGCTACGAGTATTGTGTCTCGTGTAGGTTCTTGCGTTGGTAGTCGGTAGCCTAGCCTGGTGCTGGTAGCAACGACACCGAGCTGCTTGTGTCTAGCGGTGGTAACGGCGGTGGTAGTGGTGGTGGTGGTGGTGGTGGAAGTGGTGGTGGTGGTGGTGGTGGCGGTGGTGGTGGTGGAGCTGCCGATGGTGGTAGTGGGAGCCGGTAGTGGTGGTGCTCTGGCGGTGGTGGGTCGAAATAGTGGGGGAAGGATGTTGGAGGGTTGCTGAAGTTTCCCTAACGCTCGATGGCGTACCAGTGCGGATCGTGATTCTGTGGGACGTGCAGCGTCGCAGCGCTCAGCTGTCTTGGCCTCTCTGTCGTCCGTCCGACGCGACCGATCGACGGGCACACGCACGACGCGCAACGCGCGACGGCGAGTGCTTCAAGGGACGTCGTCGTGCGCGTCTGTGTCGTCGATTTCAAAGTCATCGGTTCGAGCATGCACGCGCCATGTCATCAAACCGTTGGTTGAAAGTCGCGATCGGTGATCGTAACGATCGCGGCGACGACGCGTGATCGTCGTCGGACGAGGTCGGCGTGTCGCGTGAAATTAACGTCGCGCTACTCGGTAGCGTGTAGCATCTCCCGCGCCCGGCAGTCTCGTTGTTGGCCGCGTGTGTTTCGCGTTTTCTTCGACGCGTTTTGTCTATGCCGTTCCTTTCCCCCGCGTCACGGCGTGTTCGCGCCTGAAACTGGACTGGGGACTGGAAGGTACGATAACCGACACGGAGAGTGTACATACGCACACACTCGGGAAAGAATTTTTCCAGAGGAGACACCGGACGGAAGGCACGTTTGCGTTTCGTTCCGTGAGAAAATTGTTCACGCGCTCCGATGGAAAATTCTACTTCCCTTTTGAATATGTTTTCTATGTCCGCGGTAGAGGGAAAAGGAGCGAGAGAAAGAGAGAGAAGAGTATGGGACAGAGAGGAGGACGAAGAAAATTGCACGATGACAACCGGAGCGAACCCCTTTTCATTTCCCTCTATTTTTTGCTCTTTTTTTTTTTACTTTTTCCGTGCTTTTCTCTCTTCCCCCTCCGTTTTTTGATACGTCCCATTGGAAAGTACTGCTCATTTTCTCCGGTGTAATTTTCTGCCTGCTAAAAGTGTGGACGCCTGGCTTCGCATTGTTCGGCCTTTCACCCGCTAAATTAATCGTTCGAACTCGTTCCCCTGCCCGGCTCGTCCGCGAACTTTCGTAGCTCGGCTGCGAAATTCCACGATCGGCGAATCGGCTGCCAATCGGTTTCGACCGATTCTCACTTAACTTCGTGACAAACGTCACTCCCCTCCCTCCCCTGTTCTATATACGCCAATACGACAATTCAATCTTGCCACTTACCGCGAATTCGTGCCGATCCGGCTGATCGATCAATTTTCGCCATTTAGATCTCTGGGTCTCGCAAATCGAACGTTATTTGTTTCTTTCGAACGACGATAAAATACCAATCGCGTTGGCAAATGCGCGTTCGCGATCATCTCATTCGCGTATCAGGACTTATTTCGATCCGGAAGGAACGATCGGCGATGCAAAAAAAAAGGCGATGGAAATTGCGCACGTTGCTAGTGTTATTCGGAGCTGAAAATTGAACGGCGCGAGCGGTCTCCCGGTCGCTGCTCTCTCGGGAGAAATGTAAACGACATACTCTCACACACGCGCGCGCGCGCGCGCGCACACACACACCAAGGTTCCCGAACCTTGTAAAAAATGTATCTTCGCTCGGACGAATCGAATGGCCACTGGAGAACGATCGAGAATACCGGAATCGAGGAACGATGTAACGATCGCCGGGACGATTCGCTCTTGTAACCGTGTTGCCACTGTTGCGACGAACGAAGCGCTTCCGATTAAAACGTAATTTCCGCGCGCTCGTAAAGATTTTAAAACGGTCGCCTCCCGAGGAAAAGAAAGTTATTAAATCGTGCGCGCGCGATCGTACATCGCTGTCGATAACATCCCCCCCTCCGCCCTATCGTCCCTCTTGTCTCTTTATCAATTTTCATCGCGACTCGGCTCGGACGTTATCTTCATCGAGCCGGCGCTTCCTACGCGAAAAGTCGCGAGGCCAACGACGTTTCCGTGACGAAACTGGATATCTGATGGAGAAGAAGGACAGAAGCTTGAACGGTCGCGATGGCCGTCCATGCGATGCGTGCCGCTGATTCGTGACCTTGGCCACTCGGGAGGCAAACGATCGCGAGTCTAGATATCGGCGGTTGGCAGGACACGGGACGGGTAAAATTGTCGATCGGCCGGTCGGTCGGTAGAACTGACCAGTGGTAGAACTGGATCAGCGTGGCGCGGGATCGTTTTATCCGGATCTAGACTCTCCGTCGAACTCGCGGCTGACTCTCTCGATCGTCGAGTCAGGTGAGCGTCGAGAGGATCGTAAAGAGGCCGACCGAGGTGGACTCATTGTCAGTGGTATTTCCAATTGGCCCGTTGCGATCTCTTGCGAGAGGAAACCGGTTCGACGACCGGCTCGACTGACTTCGATCTTCTCTCTCTCTCTCTCTCTCTCTCTCTCTCTCTGTCTTTGTCTTTTTCCCTCTCCTTGGTCGCGTTGCTCGTTCGCCTCCCGATTCCAGCCGCGAGTTACCTGTTGTCCCTTCCTCCTCACTGCCTCGCGGTTCTCGGTCCTCTCTCTGTCCGCTCTCCCCGTCCTACCGACCCGGCGAACGTTCCACCTTCCACCTTCTTCGCGCCGGCTACTAGTCTCTTTCTACGTTGCATTTCAGTGTTTACGCGGCGGACGTACTGTGACTGCGATCGAAGGACCCTGCACGTGCAACGACGATCTGCCACGGTGCTACATCGAGGAAGAAACTTCGGGGCCGCTTCGTCTTCCTCGAACCTTCGAGACGACGGTCCGTTGCGACACAAGCTGCGTGGGATTCTTCCACCGTGAGGGGAAAAATCAAAGAAATATTCTCGGCGGTGAATCAGCCAGGGAAGAGGCTGTCTCTAGGAAGAGGTATATATATACGGGATTTCTCGGAGCAGGAAAATTTTGATTATGTTCCACCTTTGAGGCGGAACGAAAAGTCGAGCCACGAAAAAGCACTTGCTCCGTGGGAGAGGGAGGGGCGGGGAGGAAAGAAAGTTCTTGCCTCCGGTCGACGTGCAAACTTTTCCCCGGCAACGTGAGTAGACACGTAACGTGTACCAACCCGAAGGAGAGGAGATCCTTTTTCGGTATATTCGAAAGAGGGATGGCGTGAAACCTCGGCGAACAGCCGACCGAACAGCGTTCTTCGTTCCCTTCGTCTTCTCTCGGACCATTTGCGAGATTCGCTCGGACCCTGGCTCGATTCACACTGCCGGGAGAAAGGATACGAGCAGCAACGATGGATGTTCCGTTCGACGTTGGACGCGAGGATACTTTGCCCAGACGATGTAGAGATATCTAAATGCTTTCGCGACTCTTTCGTCCTTCGATACTCTTCTTGGGACGTTAAACCGTACCGTTGATCGTTCGACTTACGTATATACGATACATTCGAGATTCGACAGTTGGTTGGTTGTACCCGATAAATGTGTGTCACTCCGGTAAAAGTGTTGGAGTTTTCGTGAGTTTTCGCGAAGCGATCCTGCGTCGATTCGTTCATCGTAGACTGTCGGGGGAAAAAACTCACCGGGGAATCTCGGAATCTCGGTGCTGTTACCTCGCCCGTGCGTTTTTTCGTGGGAACGCCACGGGATTTCGACGGGCAGGGCGAAAGAAGAATCTCCCCCCTGCGAGAAGGTTCGTTTCCGTGGATTGGTGGCTCCCAGCTCTGTAGCAAGAAAGCGCTTAAAAGCTTGATTAATTGCGCTCGGAGGCAGCTCGGTGACCGGTGCACGCCAACCATGCATCGGCCGGGTTGCGCCGCTCGCTCGAGAAATAGCGGGGAGAACGTCGTTTCCTGCGAGAGAGCCGATCCTCCGCTACGCCACCCTGCCCAACCGATAAGATATCGAGGACGTTGGCACTGCTAGAGAAGACGCTGGAGGAGGCGGAGGAGGAGGAGGAGGAAGAAGAAGAAGAAGAAGAAGAAGAAGAAGAAGAAGAAGAAGAAGAAGAGGAAGAGGAGGAGGGAAACGATTATCCGAGAGAAACGAAACCGCGAACACGGGTAGTGACTGAACACGGGAGCCATAACAACAAGGGCTGACAGAGAGAAAAACAGAGAGGGTAGTGTGCTTGGGGATGGGAGGGCGGGAGGGTGGGTGGGAAAAGTCGAGTCGACACGGAGTGTACACGGTTAGTATTTGACCGGTCGCGATTCGGACAACGTGCACAACGGCGGTGGTATGTGCGCAGCTATGCAACAGTACGCGACGTACGGAGAGTGTGTATCGCTATCGGGTGCGTGTCGTTAGAGAGGGTAAAACTCGATCTTTCTCGGATAGTCGGTGCTCCGGTGGCTCCAGCCACGGAAACACGTATTCCGCCGAGGATTGCGTGCTTTCGCTGTTTCGTGTTTGATAGTCGTTGTCGTCGTCGTCGTTATACGTTAAGTATAACGAAATTCTCCGTATACCACGGCGGGATCGTGCCGGTTCAAGCCATCGGCGATCGCCTCTGCTACGCGGTAGTTTCGTCCGCGCGTGATGATCCGATCTCGAGATCGTGATCCCGCGAGTGTACAACAGGTGCGATCACGATCGTGAACAAACGTCGCGATTTCCTCGATGATTGCCTCGATCGTTCCGCTCGTTCTCCGTGAAGAGAAGAAGGGAATAGACGAGACGAAACAAACGAGGTGGAGATCGAGTTGTGCTTTCGGCTCGTGGTGGAGAAGAACCGACCCGAGAGAATTCGTGGAAAACCCGGTGTATCCGGTTCATCAACGTTGATCGAATTAGATTGAGGTCAACGACGGGCTGCCCGCAACAGGCCGGACGAAAGTCGCCAACACCATGGATTGGTGGCTGCGCGGGCGGATTATCTACACCTACTCGTTATGGGTCGTCTTCAAGGCAGCAGCTGTGGGCGGTATTTTCGGTGAGTGTTTCATCATCAGTTTCGTTCGTTTTCACATGGGGTTTTTCCCTCCCTTTGGCGTGACCCTTTGACGTTTCTTTTGTTCACTGCCCCCGGGACAGGGATTTGCAGCACGTGCTAATCCGGATGGCAGAGATGCGCTCCGTCTCTCTGACTCGCGATTACGTTTGAAATACCTTATCCTTGGTCGAGTCGTTGGCGGAGCACGACGTTGCCGTTGACCATGGAACAGCGAGGTGGTGAGTGAACCCGCTCGCTCTTTTCTACTCCATTTCCACGGAGGTATTGCGGTGTTCGCGTTACACAGAAACCAGAGACGCCTTTGTGACACAGTTACCCGCGAGAGATCGTTCGCTCGCCGAGCTTTTTAATTACTTTTTGCAAATTACACTTTCCCTTCTTGCGCAAGCGAGAAACTAATTTCAGCCTGCCCGAATTCCCGTTTCGAATACGGCCAGCGAATTCCGCGTTTTTCGAAAAATTCCACGCGCGTTTTCGTCGACGTAATTAACCGTTTGGTTTTCCCCCCGGCGTTCCCCTTCGCGCGTTTCCACACCCCTCTCTTTTTTTTATACGTGGAGGAAATCTTCGAAAGACACCCGGTCATCCTGAGGGATATGACCGGGTACAGTCGGATTCTTACCGACTAAAACCTCCACGATGGCCTACCTCATGTCCTAACTGCATTTCCGGGGCAGAGGTATTCACCGGAAATGCAGGACAGTTCTCCAAAGTGGGCTCGCGCGTTTCCCCCCTTCCCTCGACTGGGGGAGGGCCAAACACAACGACATTCACCGAGTATAAAACCGCTTTAACGACTAGCTACTCTTGAAACTAACATTATTGTATTACAACAATAATAACGGCTTGGGTGTATTGTTACGTTCGATCCGGTAAACTTGAGCCAGCTTGTCGCGAAGTTTTCCCGATAATTGGAACGCCGCGGCGTTCGGCGAGGGAGATTTTCTTTTTTCGCGGTAGCTCGCGCGGTAGAAGGTGGGGAGGAGCGAGCCTGTTTGAAAAGGCGGCCGAGAAGAGGTATAAACACAGCTGGTGCGGAGGGGAGGACGTTGTTGCATGAAACGCGACTGGAAATTACTTTAGCCTTTTCATTGGCGTGTGCACAAAAGAGTGGCGACCGCCAGTCAATGACGGCCATAGTTAAGTCGAACACGTGGTATTTTTTATGTATTACCTCCGGCGCGTTCTTCGCGGCACAAAAGAGTCTCGCAACGTCGTGTCGCGCGTGTAACGTTGAAGGTAAATAGAAGCTACCTTTTTGCGTGAAAACGCGTCCGCGTCCGTGCGTTTGGTTTAGTTTCGTCGCACGATTTTTTCCCCTTTCCTGTCGTGGGTTAGGTAGACCGTCACTGTGCGAAAGAAGACTTCTCCAATTGTTGTCCGATCCTTCTGTCGGAGCCTCGAGATCGTCTCATCCTCGCGTACACGATTTTCGAATGATTGATCGCTCGAGCGAACCTTCGATTCGCGCTGTAGCTACCTTTGGTTTGGTTCTAACTGTGCTCGTACGATGAACGATCCGTTTTGCGAATATAGGCAGCCCGGGTAACAAAGGGTAACCGTAACCTCGTCAGCGGCAATGCCTCGCATCTGATAAAGCTAACTGTAACGTTCGTAAAACGCCCGAGGAGCCCGGGGGCGCCCGGAAGCTTCCAGCGGCAGTTTTAAACAAATTTTTGTTCGAAAGTACGTGGCAACGTGTGTACTATCGTATATGATCGCGGATAAAACGGTTTCGCAGCGGGATTAGAATTTTCCCTCGGGCAAAAGAACATTCCTCTCCGAACGAAGGAGGAATTAAACGAACGATAATGAAGTTTATCGTGGCATGTCCGCGACGAAACTATCGAAATTGCGTATATCGAAGCTACACCCTCGTCGCGATCCAGCATCGTGATAATCTATTATCTCTAGCCTAGAGTGGCGCGCGAGTTTCCCTCCATATCGGAGCCTTTACAGTCGCTAACTGCCGCTTAACTTTTCGCGACAGCCATCAGCGTTCGCCTGATCGACCATATTTGTCAATCGGTAGGCGTTCGTTGCGCGGATAGAAGATCATATTACCGCCGAGTTAATCGCCAGCTTACCGCTCGAAATTAATTAGCAACCGCGGTGAACCGCGTTTCCTGTGCTTCTAAATGCCTGTTGCCCGTTTCGGCAGACGATGCACCGCAGCGCCGACCATCTCCTCGCCGATCGTCTACCACATCGTGCGCCTGTTTCTATTTAAAACAAAAAGTGAACAGAAAGGGAAGTTGTACCACGAACGATGCACCTTTTTAGAATTCGCTAAGTGCTTGGATCGAAAGGAAAAAAAGAAAAAGAAAAGTTCTCGCAAACAATGTAGCTTTCTCGTTTTTTAGAATTCTCTGTGTTTCGATTTAAAAAAAAAAAAAAAAAAGGAAAGTTCTCACAGACAATATAATTTTCCACAATAAGTATCGTTTTCGATTTTAGTCCATCTTCCAAAATGAAACTTGTCCGTCGTATTCAAGTCTCTACCAATTTCACGTTTCAAGAGCGTCGAAAACAGAGAAGATGGGAGAAGTCATGTTAATGTACGAATTAACTCTTAAATTATGCAAACGCTGTAATAAATTGAAGGAGTATGCATCGACGACGACGACGGCGGAGACGTCGTCGTCAACTGGATTTCCAGCTAACGAGCCCGCGAACGAGAAGATTGAAAGTATGTTTCGATTAAAATACAATTAAGCCGGGATTCATAGGCCGGGAAATGAAATTAACATAAATTAGCATCAGCGGCGTGCGAACGCCGTACGCGCGTATTAAAATTTTATTTAAGTGAGGCACGCGGAAGTAATGTATATAGAATCTGTAATTATTAACGCAAGCGTAACCTTCTCCTCTCCGTTGAATCGCTCGTTCTTTGTCCCCTTACGAGCAAACGCGTCCCCGTTGGATTTCACGTTGGAAACTTTTCCCGCGAACTTTTCATTCACGACGGCAGATTTCAGATCTTGAAATGCGGAACGAAGCGTTTGCCCTCTTCTCATTGAACGTTTCAATATCGAAAGTTGTAACTTCGAACGATCGTCACTTTCCTTTTCCATTTATCCCTTAGTGTTTTTTTTTTTTTTTTATCCTTAAGTAACGTCGTTTTTTGCTACTGTACAAAATTTTGTTTTATCTGAGAGTTAACACAGTTTCAATTTAATAATACAATTTAACAACAAGCACACTGAATGTCAATATATTAAACTAGATTATAGGTTGCGTTATAATAAGTTAAATTATTGTCGCCAGATGGCAATGTTTATTAAATTTGAAAGAAACATTATTTATGGATGGCCCATAACAGTGAAACGGTTAATCTCCCCTTTAGTCGCGGTTTCCCCCGCGTATTTTCATGAATAAAGAATTTTCAATCCGTGCGACTGCAATTGGGAATTACGCGTCAGAGCCCTGAAAGATGATGGTATTTTTAAAAAATAATCAATGTATGAATAGCGAAGGGGAAAGTGAATCTCCCGGAAACGCGTTCGATTATTAAAATGCAGTAAATTTTTGCTGCGTGCGCGGATCGAGCGATCGACTATCGGGGACCGATAGATCGCTGCGATACTCGCAAATCCACGAAATCATTATTGCATTACCGCGACATCGTGCATCGGCTGCATAATCGAGCTACTGAACGCGAACATGGAACAGTCATGGAACGGTTCCACGTTCACGTTCGACTCGTTCGTGTCTCGCGTGTCATCCGTTCATCCGTGAATTTCCAAGTAGAACGCTGCGAGAGGACGCGCCGACAAGGCCGTTTTTTCCCCCTCGTTTTCTCGACGGAATAAAAAAGGAAGAAAGGAAGAAAGCATCGATGCTTCCTGCTTGGCAATTTGTTTCTTTTTTCTTTTTTTAAACCGAACTGCAGGTTTGTCTGCACTATGGTGTCTCTGATAGAGAAAGAAACGCGTGCGTCGGTACGCAGCAGCCTTCTGAAAAACACCGCGTCACATCGCGTCGCCATCGATCATCGATATCGGATAAAATGTTTTCGATATCTCATCGCGTCGTGCTCGAGACACTATTTTCACCTGTAACAAAGAGAGAAAGAGAGAAGATGGTATCGCGAACCGTAAATACGTCTCCGCCGCCGTAGGAAATCGCAGTAGGCCGGTATGGATGGAAAACGTGCTCGAGGGAGAACGGACAGGCAGCGCGGTTAAATCCGACAATCGATGCGAGCGTCGTTCGAGGAGACGCGCGTCTCGTCGCTCCGTTTTGTTCACTCGGCTTATATTCGTCGACGTGGAGAAGGGAACCCAGTCGGCTCCAACTGTACGGTAGACGCGTTACTTTCGAAATCGAACGGAGCTTCGACGGAGATACGCGTGCCTAAGTACACTGTGCATATAGTCCGCATGTGTAGTAGATTTTTCAATTTGTTGCTCGCGCGAAAGTTGATGCTCCTTAAGAGGGTATTCTATATAATCCGGCATGTGAAAATCGACTTTTTGGGGATTTTTTTTTCCTGAGGAAACCATGATACGTTTTGGTATGCAATTTTCGCACACAGATTTATTCATACTTGAAGAATGTTTACAATTTTTTTTTTTTAACGAAATTAATGAAAGTTGTTGAAATTATATAGCCTTAGGTAAAGCAAACGGGTTCGAATGGCTGACATGATTCCGGTCCATCTGGTTCCAAAAAAAGCATCTCAATTAATATAAATATGTCTATAGCGTGAGCCGCTGAAACAGCGAAATTTCGAAAATTAAAAAAATGGCAGCATTTTAAAGTTTAAATATCGATTTTCCTTGTGCTGTGTTTCCGTCCTTTGGGTGGTAAACTAAAAATAGGAAAAAACATCAGATTTTGAAATACGTGGTTCATGCGATAAAAGTACATCCGGTAAACATCTCTTCCAAATTTCAAGTCAATCGGTCAACTGAAACTTGAGATATTCCGTCAGCCAGTTTAAAAAAATATGGATTTGAGAAAAACACACATGAAGT